TGCTGCCTCCGTGGCAGGACTTCCCGCAATGGGACTGGAAGCCTATTTTTTATCCCAGGAACTCACCGACTGTCCGCATGGACCTGCGTCTTCTGGACAACTCTCGCCTTCACATTCCTGAGTCAGGAACCCACTTCCATAGGCCTGTTGCGCTGTATGGCCCTGGTGTTATCGCTCGCGGGAAGAAAGGACTCGCCTGGGACAAAGTTAAGCTCCAGTCGCAAAGCGCAAGCGGTGATCTCTCGCACAAGGCAATCCTCGAACACAGGGTTGTCGGTACATTTTCATGAGGCAGGGATTACGTCATCGTGAAGCTTTCCGACAAGGGGCTAATTAGTAAATATTTTTAGCTGACAGAGGTACGAAAATGACCGTGGAAAAAGAAGCTAAAAAGCCTGAACACTTTCTGGCGAAAATATATGATAGGTAAAATTTGAAAATAGGAGTAAAATAAAGTCGCCTTTTTTCAGTCAATCTTGTTTTAAAAAGTTGGTCAGCTCGCAGCAAAAAGAGGTGCAAATACCGCTGGGCTATCCATACACTGCCAATTTTTGCCCAGGTAGAGTCCATACCAGTGCTTAAACCATGAGCCACCCGAGCAATCAGGTGGCTGAAGCATCCCTGTTGTATAACCGCCAGACGGCTGATAAGGTCTGGCTGCCATCTGGTAGCTCATCTGGTCACCAGACAATGGGTCACACAACAGTCACCCAACAGGTCCAGCTGGATACCTGCCCAAGAATTGTGATTATTTCCGCACAGTTTGTACAATCATGCACCTCATGTATTGAAGATGGGTGCAGGAGTTTATGCTTTGCAGAGCAAGTTTATTGGCATATAGTAGCAACGCTCTATATATACCGTGGCATAAATACAGATGTGGTCATGCTCTCTTGTGCTTGTGAGAACTTGGCTCGGGGCCTTCTTCCATGTCTGGGTTGTGATCATCTGAGAGCTCCGCCTTGTTGCCGCCGCCCTCCTCGAATTCAGCGTCGAACTCGGACGCTGCACTTAACGAGTCTGCACCCATATTCTCTGGCTTGTCACTTCACTTATCGTCGTACTCTGATATGTCCTGTAAGTATTGTTGGTTGCCTAAATTTCTGCAAGTAAACTGATATTTCTTGTACAATTCTTGGCGAGACATGCTTCCAGGATGTAAATACTGACTGGTGAAGTTAAAAATGAAGATTATTCATAGTGCGTGTGGTTCACTCATGCTAATGGATCACATGTGGCCTGTATTGTTTGAGACATGATCGGAGCGGTCCTTCAAAAGGCCACCAAATGATCGCAACATAAAACCGTAGGACGGCATGTCGTCCTTCCTTTTAAACACCCATCAACATGCACTCTGTGTTTCTGCAACTGCCTTCCGTAACGAGCTTGAGTGATTCACTAATGCCAGTAGCTCGTAGCCTGGCAGTTCCAAGCAACCGGCCACCGTTCTCAGAAAATGGACCCGCCTCGCTGAGAGCATGAGTGATTCGGAGGAAGAAGATACTGGTACCATCAGAGACTGCTCTCGAGAGCTTACTGCCAGTAACAACAACACTTCTTCTGCCTACTATGCACCACATCCTACAACTAGGGCCAATACAGTCAGCCGAAATGTCCTCGAGTACGCCAAGAGACTTGGAGTCAAGGCGAAGCTTCATGCCGAGCAGCAAGAGAAGCTCAATTCTTTTGCTGTGGTATGTCTTTCCATTGGGCCACACTCACTTCATGGCCAGTAGGCTTACAGGTTTTCAATGTAGAACCCTCCGGCCACACGAGAGATGAAGATCTTCTCACTCCTGCTCGCCATTCAACAGTGGCAAGAAGATTTTATCACTACACAGGCCTCATGGGGGCCCTCTGATGAACTCATTGTAATCATGTATGCCACGTTCAACTGTATTTGGTGCTGGCTGACTTTGCGGCAGGCCAACATCCAAAATTACACAATCAGCATCTTACTTCCCAGCCGGCTCGCAACATACAAGGGTGTCGTGCCAAACAATTATGTTACAGTATGTCCTTATATTTGGGTGTTTCTATGTACTAATGATATCCATATGTCTATCTTACAGGGCATCCTCAAACGCTACCGGTTCGACTTGCAAGCAGGTATCAAGCGCAACCACGGCCACTGGGCCAAGGTGATTAAGGCCATCCAGAACAGAATGACCGAGCAACAGGCAAAGATCAAAAAGGCAGTAAGTCGAACTTATTCTGGATCTTCTTGACATGTCAGCAGTGTGCTAATGCTTGTCTCACTTAGCTTCATACTGGCACTGATGGTGATGACCATCAGGAACACCTCAACATCTTCAAGCTCACTGAAAATTGAACTCTGTGGGGGCACGTTGTGCGAGCCGTCTCTTCAGCTCTGCGCAAGAGTGATGCCTCTAGTACGTGCTCGCCTCTCGCTCAACTTCCGATGTTTGGCATTGACTAATGCGGACCATCTGCAATAGCGAAAGACATTCTTGACAAATCTGACTGCGACTTCTGGGATTCAGCCAACAAGAATCTTGCAGAGATTCGCAACGCGGCCGACTGCAATTCCAAGAAGATGACCAAGATTTTCAGCAAGATCTTAGTGAATGATTGGGCTACTCATAGTGTCGTTGAGGAGGGTGAGGATGGTGACATTCAGGCACAAGTTCCGGAGTTGCAGCAGACTGTTAACAAATTTGTCGGCAGTCAAGCTTAGTTTTATGGCAGTGCCACAATATATTATATTACTGCAATTGCAAGCACTCAACGAAGTTATCATTACATTAAAGCCGCGTGATGCACCTGCCGTGTGCTGTCGACTACTCTGAGAACTCGGCAAGATGACTGACTACCAGAGTTCCAAGGGTTGCAAATACACGGGTAGCTATTGTCGTGATACGACTACTGGGCTGCGCGAGCGTGAACTGGTGAGTGGCACGCGGGCACGATCTAATACACACGGTGTTAGTCTGAGTGCGAAGGGAAAGAGCACACTGTATAACTATATACCTAATACACACGGTGTTAGCTATACAGGGGTCTGGTAAGCATACTGCATAATGCGCAAGGGCGACGAAGGAGACTTACTCTGAGTGCGAAGGGAAAGAGCACGCAGAGTGGGGATGCGAGAGGAGTCCTTATATACTAAAAGGAGGCAAAATTGAAAGTCCGCTAGAATGGGGAAGCCTGCCATAAAGAGGTCCGTGCGTGGGAGCACTACATATGATTGTCCAATCATTATCTACGTATTAGCAGCGCCTAATCTAAGATGTCCACCTTAAGTCCATGCTGGGCGGAACGCCGAGCCAGAGCCACTAGGCGCTTCAACAGTAGCTTCTACCAGCGAAGACATGTCTCTACCACCTATCTTCACACCTGGCTTCCACCCGTGTCTGGAACTGCTCTGTGGCCAGAGGCGAAATATGATGAAAATCAGGTGCTCACGTGTCTTATTTGGGCGTTAACATCCAGGAACTTTCCAGTACCTCCTGTCTGGTCACCACCTGTGGAACTTTTGGCAGTGTATATAGAGTAATTCTCGTGGAGAAAGAAATGATGATGATTTCGCCCTAAGGAT